GGGATGGTTTCAAAGATACTAAGTGGATGAAAATTGATATAATGTGGAATTAACTCTGAAATGTTTGATAAAATGGATGCTAAACTAGTAAAAGTACTAGGTATGTCTTGAAAAGAATGGCAGATAATGTGGATGGTGGTGTTAAGAACTTTTTTACAAGAATTTTCAAATAATATAAAAAGAACATTGAATAAAAAGAGAAAAACTATTTTTTTTTGTGAAACTGCATGATTGTGAAATATACAAGGGTGAGCATTTTATCTCATTTCTAAAGCTTTGTAATCTTAGAATCTTGTGTTTTTAGAAATCTCATAGCTTTAACATGTGTGAACGATGATTTACAGAATAAGTTATATAATTATTTAGATTTTCTTCTTCTGTATATTGTATATTTATTTCAGAAGTTGATTTGTAACAAATAGCATATATCAGGATGTAATGATCACAACATTTGCATCAGACACTCAATATGCTATTATTCTAGGATATTATTTCTTCTTTTTCTCATTTTTTATTTACTTTATTGTGCATGTTATATATATAAAGCAGTCAGATTCATATGTTTATATTTCATCCAGTGTAAATTTGGTCTGTGTTGCTCTGTTATGTCAAGTAACTTCTTATTGTCCCTTGAATACTACACTACTTGTGTGGAGTTTGAAAATGTTCTATTTTATTGAGTTAAATGTTACATGGCATTCTGGATTCATTATTCCCAAGTTTTTAATTCAATGGAGAGAAAAAATAGCCAAAGGTGATAAAAAGGCAGTAGAAAAGACCATAGATGTAGAATTAAAGATTTGAAGAAGATATAACCAGAGAGTAGATTATACGAGTGTACATTTGTACATTTGAAGTCCAAAATATACATTAAAATGAAAGCAACCGAAACCCTCTGATATTTTTTTTCTCTTCATTAAGATTACAAGATTGATCACATAAAAATTGCGAAAGATAAGGTTCACAAATTCATAAAATCAAAACCTATAGTGTATGTGCCTTTGTGGTACTTTCTGCATAAGCCTTGTGATGCTTATTCACAATATATAGTAAGTACTGTTTTAGTTTAATTCAGTACTACTTTACTATATCATAGTCTTGTAGTTCTATCTAAAAAGAAAAAAACATTTCGAAATCTCATGTTGTTAAAACAAATTTTGCAGTACTCAAATCCATATTCATGTCCACACTATTCTAGTGAAAATCATGAGCAAGAAATGTACTTCTTTCCTTAATATTTTTTCTGTTTAAATTTTAAATATTAGCACTGCCAATATTAAATGGTTGTTACTTTGATTCTTGGGTTATAATCATGAACATAGATATTTTGGAATTTGAACCTTTTAAATCATGTAAAGTTTATACCAAAATCAAATCACTGCAGAAAATGTTTGCAATTAAAATAACATCATTTTAAACTATGCAATGAGGTATCATTAAATTGCCATTTAAGAATAAAGTATTAATTCTTGATTTAGATTAGTAATACATTATGTGTGTCTACAACCCCCCATGACGATTATCAATTTGACTGCATGTTTTTATGTTTTCTACGCATGTCTTGATGATGTATTAAATTGTTCTTGGAATCCGTCAGGCATAATGGTGATTGGTTTGTTACTCAGCTCACTGCAGCAATGGAAGCATGAAGAAATAATCAGGATCTTGTCTTCATTTTCTGCTTTAAAATCAAAACTACTTGATCGTTAATACTGTTCATGCTATATGATCACCTGCTGATATCAAACATAGTCTATGAAGACATTATTTTGTTCAAAATCAAATTGGAATAATTGACTTTTTATTGAAAATGACTTGACAGAGTTGAAGGCTCTAGGTTTTTGCAATTTTACCATCGTCTTTCTATGAAATTAAATTGTAAGTAATGCCCTGTTGTAAAAGAATTCTTTAAACATCTGTAGATGCACATGTATTACCTTAGTATTTTGGAAAATCATACAGTCGGTGTAGGTTACTAAGGAGCTGTGTTACCATTGCTATTGATTTGTGATGTACAACCCCTTTCTGTACATCGAGATGAAAGATGAAAGAAATTGTATAAACTTATATTAAATGCTTTCTTGGGTGCATTATTTCTGTATCATTTGACTGCACATTATCCAGTAAAGAAGGGCTGTATACCCATGAAAGTTGGGCTATGGGAATGCACCTTTTCTGCTAAGCAGTAAACAAATGGTTTGTGAATGGAAATCTGATTGCGTAGACAAGCATTACTGGTATATGGTTATACTGCTTTGCTGTGAGAAGAGGCTGTCTAACTACAATACAAAGAAGATCGGCAATGTGCATGTGCTCCTGTTAATGAAACCAGTAAACCATGTTGTGAGGGATTCCACATCCATGTTTTGTAGAGGCCCATCCTCACTGCCCGTTACATGTACTATGCCTGCAGTCACAGTGGTGTGGATGTATTTTTAGCACCCCTCGATACTCTGTATAGATGTGTGTTGTCTCCATATTTAATTGTATTCTATTGTGATGTGATCAAAATTTAATTTATTCAAAAACAATGTACTAGTATGTCTATATGAGTGACTGCCTACAATGTACTAGTATGTCTATGTGAGTGACTGCCTACAATGTACTAGTCTGTCTATGTGAGTGACTGCCTTGTAATTTCATAAAATTGTTCGAGAGAATGAGATCAAGATGTTTTGCTTGAATGTTTTTAGAGTACTATGTATTATATTTCATATATAGAGTTTTATCATAGAGGAAGAAAATATGGAAGAAATGAGATTCAGTCATAGATTTACTTTGCAACCAGTAGTTAGTCACTATTTTTAATTTTTTGCTTTTTACATAAAGATTTGTCTGCATATTGCATGATGGTACATGTACAATATCTGTGAGTGTATTTTTCTTGCAAAAAAATGAACGATATTTATAGAATGTGTCTTTTAATGTTACCGATGTACTGATCCCCTCATTGCATGGTGTTTTTGATTAACCAAAATTTGCATAAAAATATATAAAAAAGAAAAGTGAAATATATATTTTGATGAAACTATTACTGGAAGATGTTTGCTAATTCAAGATATTCTTAAGTGCCTTTGTGGGAGATCATTCTGATGTGACAGATAGTGGTATAGGGTCATTATAAATATCAACTATATGTATTTTTGGATATCCATTTCTTAAATCTACTACTTTCACCCAGATTATTTGCTCTTTTCCAAGCAGTCACTCATTCAGAAATATCTCGGAGGGCTATTAAGATGAAATAATAAAGCTTTTTAACATTACCCCACGCTTTTGAGATAAATGAATGTAAGGAAAGCCAGGCATCGCTAATAGGACTGCCTTTTTTCTCTCCATGATTTGATATGTATACTTAGGAAAATAAAGACCCCCATCAGAAACGATATCCTTTGCTGAGAAGGGTATTGAAATAATTAAAAATTAACCAACTGACTGTCACTATCAAGACCTGTATTACTGTGACATTTCAACTGCCAAGCTTTTAGAAATAGAAAAATTAGCAAACTAATTTGAATGTAAATACCTCATCTGATAATGAATAGTTTTATTTTTCTTCTAGAGTGATAAAGATAATGTATTTAACATGTGCCAGTCTGAAAGTCTTTGAAGCCCATTTTCTGCTGAAGGCATTTACATTCAGTGTGAATATCTCACCAGATAATGACTCATTTTATTTTTTTCTTGTTGAGTGAAAATGACTGATACTGGCACATGTTTTCATCGGGTGTGTTCACACTTGTGATATATTCTTTTATTTAATTAATTAAATGTGAACAGCCTGTAAATGATGATGCATTATGAAATATTACTTTATACACAGTTTGGTATCACTTCTCATTCATTCAAGCTGAAGTGTTATTTTGTATTTATTTTTTAAATAATTATAGTTTGATATACATAGCTATGTGTCCTACAAGTACATCACGATGCTACCATGTGTTTAAGATATAGGAATTTCATAACTCTGTCAGTTTGTTGCCATTTTATTTTTCATTTTTCTCCTTTATTTTGCCCACTATTTTACAAAAAGATTTATGAGTATATTTCTATACCACCTCTTGAATGTTATGGTGTACAGAGTTGAAGTTGATGTAATGGGGACTTTCCCACGGTTACAAACTTGTTGTGAACCTTGCACAAATTGTGCACAACCCCATTAAACAGTGCTTTGTTACATTACAAAGGGGCTGTGCCTGGCACTGGAGTGAGAAAGATATTTAGCATGCACCAGTTGGAATATTTATGAAGTCCTGTTTATGCTTTAGACGTTTTGTTTCCTTTTTGTATAAATACATTTCTCGATATCTCAACATCTATCTTTGGATTTAATAAATAGAGTATTAAATATTTTCACTTTTTATACTTCAGTTCAAGATAAGGCCAGTACAAATTGACCTTGGTGGTTTTGTCAATAATGCAAGCGACTGATATGGGTGGCAGCTTAAATTTAATTTTCATTATATATGGAGTCTATGGTGCACATTAACATATGATTTACTTCCCTGGGAAAACAAATTGTTATAAGAAAACATCTCTTGCAATACCATCTGGGAGCACTGTTTGCATTGCCCCTTATTGAGCTGACATTTTAATAATTGTTCGGTCTATTTCAGAGGATATGTCAAATCTGTGCTATAATGTTGCACTTAATAATTACAGAATGTGAAATTGCAAGTGACCGTGTGACAGGCTTATGACAAATGTGTAAAAATGTGTTGCCATGGTTATATGATATACATTATTACTAACATAAATTCTCAACTGTGGTATAAGAATACCTGCATGAATTTTTAAATGAATGCTTGTGAAATAATTGTAGTGTTTTTTGTAATAAATGGTAGATTTTTTTTTTGCTAGTAAAAATGGCACAAGAAGTTTTGGAGTCACAAAACCTTTAAGGTTTCTAAGGAAGGTTTCTTTGACTTTGTCAATTTATTTATGTTTTGTCTTGTGCTCTGCAAACTTGCAATAAAACCCTGACTAGAACACAGTTTGGACCAATTGTGTTATGCTGAGTGATTCTTATACTTTGCTTTAGAAATGAGTTGTTTTGTGGCTTTTCATGACAGAGAGAGGGGCTCGGGATGGGTGAGAAATAGAGAAACAGATTGATATAAAGATAAATAATAATAGTGTAAACTATGGCCCGAATTCACAAAGGAGGTTTGTCGACAAACCTTGGTTTTCGTGCGTCATATGACGCGTTTTGACGCGTTTTTACAAACCAGGTTTGTAAAAAACGCGTAAAAACGCGTCATAATAGATGGACGCTCATGGTGCTAGCTCAGCAACAGTTCTCTTTAATACATGTACAAGTACAATAATGTTTATTTGATAATAGAGTTATCGACTGATTGATGGAAGGGCGGATGGGTGGATGGATAAAATTATTAAGAGAGAAGGATACGGTAGAGAGGAGATATGAAAAAGATTATGGTGATAGCGAGGAAGAACAACATTATTTTGATGCAATGGGAATCCCTTTATAGCAATTATTTTATATAAATGTTCTGCGCTTCAAAAGTTATACAAGAATATAATGAGAAACAAGATTGAAATGAAAATGTAAAAAGGGGGAAGAACAGTGCCAAAACGGAAATGAAAATAAAGATGAGAAAAAATGCTCCTGCCGCCCTCGATACAATGAATTGATCTCACAATCAGCTTTTCCTCTCGACAATCACGGAAAAGGATAATCGTCGAAATCGGATTTGAGTCCGGTTGGGACTGTACAGTCCTCCCGGAGGCTAAATGCTATTGGCAAAAACTGTATGGGATATGCCGTGTCCCATACAAAAAGAAACAGCATAATCTGGCATAAAAGCGAAAATTATAAGACATGTTGAACATCGAGAACCGCATTTATTAGGTTTCCTTTCTTTTTGCCTTAAAAGTGCCTTGTACTTTCAAATTTTGCTTTGTTTATTCGCTCTTCAAGGAGTTTTTTTTCTTTAGAAAAATGCAGGTGCTTAAGGTTTTATATTTGGAATCTCTCTCTCTCTCTCTCTCTCTCTCTCTCTCTCTCTACCCCCCCCCCCTCTCCCTCCACCTCTCTCTCTCTCTCTCTCTATAAAAAAAAAAAAAACATTCACTAGATAATGAATGGCAGATGACACGGCTATTTCCTTCTTAACGAAATTTTAACTTTAAAAGCAAGTTTTTTTTTATCCCATCATCTCTTCTATTTCAATCGCGCTCTCTCTCTCTCTCTCTCTCTCTCTCTCTCTCTCTCTCTCTCTCTCTCCCTCCCCCTCTCTTTTCTCTCTATCTATCTATTTATCTGATCTCTTTATTTTTGTTTCTCCCCCTCGAAATATCTATTTCATCCTCTCTCTCTCTCTCTCTCTCTCTTTATTTTTATTATTTGCTTTGAGCTTAGTGTGCTCCTGTATCACAAGCAAATATCAATTTGGATTGCTTTACAAATATTTCCGAACTGGACCCGGAGGCTGGTCCGAAGCAATTTCATATTGACACCATGATAAATCAAGCACCCTTTACAGATTCTCCTTCTTTAAATGATACATAACCACCGAATATTATGTTAGCTTGTTTGTAGCTCACTGGAACTCTTGAGATGCGATTTTCAGAAATCATAATACACAGAGGTGCTGCCTCTAGTGGATCAGTCACCGATCTAATATCGTATGGGGTTAAAATTCATAACGCGATTCTCAAATCAAGACCATAAGTAAGGCAGTCTTTCAAAGTAACGTCACGAACTATATCTTGCTTCTGGACTGCTTTAACAACATGTTTCAATTTGGATAATGTTTAGATGTGTTTAGCCATTCACAGTAGCAATATGCGTACCTTGATTATAATGAGTATGTCCGTTATTTTATAAGAATAAGCCCCCAAAACATCATTGATTTTACCGGTCCTTCCAGACTTCCTCCTATTAGTTTCTATTTTTAGGAGAGAGAGTGACAGAGAGAGAGAGAGAGAGAGAGAGAGAGAGAGAGAGAGAGAGGGGAGGGGGGAGGAAACAAAGAAGGAAGGGGAAAAGGCTTTCTTTCTGATGATTCCCCTATCAACTTTTTCTTTGTTTTCCTCATTGTATAAGGGGCACCACGGAAGCCTTTCACCTTGAAGTAAGGCGAATTATTATGTTCTCTTGATAATTTATTAGTTCATGAGTTACTACTTTTTATATGTTATGCATTTAACAATGACAATGATTTTAAGTCTTCGAATTTATTTGGAGCTCTTGCAATTTAGGTTAATTATAGGTCGATATAATGCATGTCCTGATTCAACCAAGTCGATGCGATAGTGCCCTTTGGTAAGACATTAATCCTCATAACCAGGTCCCTCGGAGAGGACCTAAAGCCGTTGGCCGTCTGGTTGCTTACTTACAAGCATTTACGCTTTCTTAGCAGTCAGGTAAAATAACCACCACCACGTTCAAGTTCATCGCTTGGAGATGTTTGATTACTGGAGGTTGCTCAACATTTATGTAATTTTATTTTTTACTCATTCAATTTGGTATGATCATAGGGATATGGACGTGCTGTGGCGTGACAACATCGGGCTGAGCTCGTGTTGCTTGTTCCTATTCGGGAAGGATTATAACATTATGACGATAGTATTTTTACTCACCCAGAAGATCTGTTCAGTATTACTTTCCGAGGGTCCTGTGAAATGTTATATGCCCTGTCATGTATTCGTAACGGTAGTATTCATAAAATCCTTCTATCGAATAATGAAAATGACGACTGCCAGGGTAGGCGATAAGTTTTAGGGGCTTCGCTTCGTATTCGGGCTGTGGTTGTACAAACAATGAGGGCGAATCGATTTTTTTTTTTTTTTTTTTTTTTTTTTTCCTCGTTGGAAAATGTTGACTTTTCTTGTCGACGCAAATAAGGTCGATGCGACCCGACCTTTCAAAAAGATAAATACTACGTTGGACACGGTGGCCGTGGGGCCGGTGGCCGAAGTGCGTTGCGTCGTCCGGCTAACTATATTACTAAGATTAACATAATTGTTTACATTTTGAAATCCCTGCCATGTTGATAATATGGGATAGGTGCATCATGTCTAGAGCATTCAAAACCTTAGAAGTGACGAGTTCCCAGAAATTTGCTTTATCGCATGCGAGTGTTTTAACGATGTTCATACCAGCGTCACTGAAGGCAAAATGTGAATATTATATTTAGCTCTCTCTTATTTTTTCTTCTTCTTTTTTTACAATTGATGTTCATTTAATAGAAATATTACTTTAAGACATAACAAAGTGGGTGGGAAGTATCAATTGACCCACTTATATATGCGATCGTGCATGTGTTTAAAGGGATAGTTGAGTTCTGTTTTCAGACTGCAAATACCTTCAAAGTGCATGATTATTGCTCTTATTCTTTATCTATGACATTTCCAGTGCCCTTTGTTGAGGACCTAAACTTGCTATGAAGGTAATTTTAGACCCCAAAATGTGTGAAATTTAGCCAATACGATCATACCAATTTAGCTCCACTTTAAAGAAAATACGGTGACCGTTAATTCACTAATTAATTAATAATAACAATACATTGGCCGGCTGGTTGGGTTTAATATAACCAACACGAAAAAGCCAACATCGGCATTGGCTGAAATATAACGTAAAAGGCGCTATTTCGTTTTTTCAACGGCTTTTTCAAATTATAAAATATTTGTGGTGGTACACAAATATTAGAAATCGTTATATTTATGGATATTTCAGCAGTCTCTGAACCGATTTCGATCAAAGAAAGGTGATTTTGTCATTTCAATTGTATGTTTTTTCAAATTTGACAGTCAGTTTTTCATTATTTCACAAACAAATTATTTTGTGTAGCGCCCTCTGCAACAGAACTCAACTATCCCTTTAAGAATTAAGTATTTCGTTTTATTGTGGTTACAATCGATAACCTACCGTTTCCACATGTTTATAATTATGCTACATTGCCATCATAAATCAGCAATTAGATTTTCAATCAACCTGAATAGATGCTATAATCCCTATAGTAGGCTACATGACTATCCCCGTGAGAAACGTGCTTGATCTGTGATAAAGCAAGAACTAGCTGCAGATAATAATGATGATGGTGTCTTATTCAGTCATTCAGTGAATATTCGATATTTGACATTAATAGATTTTAAATCAACAGCAGTGTAACGTCATCATGTTGGCACCTGCACACCGAGAAAGAATACAAGCGGAAAAGCGCGGGGCGATTACGATATCCAACCATCTCCGTTTTCAGAAGAAAAAAATTACTAATATAATATAAAAGGGTGAAGGACTAATCACAGAGCTGACAGTAGGCATTAAATTGAATTCTATATGTCTAATGGTCCATTGATTCCCCCGAGAGTTTGCACTGGTTCATTATCAAGTAGAGACGAATTTGTCTCCGACAATCTCTCTCTTTCTCTTTCTCTCTCTCTCTCTGATTTCAAATTCATGTATCTTGTTTGTTCGCGGAAGTGAGCGTTCGTTTTGCAGGTGACACGGGCATTGTGGTACGTGTTACCCGTTGTCTTCTCCCCTTTACTGCTGTCCCCCCCGGCCGCCCGACCAGACTGGCGACCGGCCCGCGGGACAGCGGGGTAAATCTACGCTTGCTAGCTGTCATGCCTTCTACTCATCCCTGCACACGACCATCATCAGGAAAACGATTGAATAAGAATTAAATAATAAGAGGGGAACACCCGTCTACGATTTAAATGATATGATGAACCTGTCTGTGGTCTCGAGGGTACCTTCAAACGATGACATTACCCAGTTACCCAGTTATTCAATATATTGGCCATGAAAATTTAATGATGGATTATTACGATGTAGAGCCAAATGACCGAAGGACTTCGTCTCGTCGTAGGCTACGTTTCCAAGAAAAAAAAACAATAAAGGCCTAACATGAGTTTTTTTGTTGTAAGCAACAGTTCTACAAGTTGCCCGAAAATATTATGATCGATTGAAGAGTATATAAGTCCGTTGTGATTTTTGTTCCCATTTATGCACAGATCATTGAATGATTGT